CGACCCGAAAGCGACGCCTACAGACTTAACGTACTTTGGGTCGAAGCGCCGCGATCTGTGCATCAAGGTAAGCGTTCCTTTGGGCGCGTTGCTTCTTCAGGTAAGATGTCTGGAGCTTCAACGCGTCAGCGTCGATCTTCGCGTTCTTGGCGTTGCTAAAGTAAGCGGACTTGGTCAGGCCTGGTGTTGCTTTGGAAGTGAGCCAGCCGTACTGTGTCTTCGCTTTGAAGCCCAGCGTTGACAGACCTCGCCCAACAGCCCCAAGCATGGGAGAACGCGTTTGTAGCTGGGAGGCATCCTCTGCGTTTGGCGGATGAAACTCTGGTCAGATTGAGTGCACCTACGTTGCATGTGCTATACATGTGTGGCACGCCCACAACTTTTCCCAAGCACTCGTTGAGCACATCACTCGACTCACCAGCGCGAGGGAATGGCATGTCGACGGCAAAATCACGCCTCTTCACATCATCACCCGAAGCATCAGTCGGCTCCTCGGTAATTCTGTCGGGGACTGGAGACGCCGCTGAAAGCAGTACGCTGAGCAATAGGAAGCGTGAGCTGGTGCACTTAGCCTAGAATCGAAAAGCTGGATGCGGAGGCTATTCTTGTCGCCACAGAGTCACTCACAGAGGTAAAACAACGGCAAGAGTTGCAAAGAACCGCATGATGCGAGTGCAACAGTCGTGCTTGCTTGCAGGTAGGTGAAGTGACGCGAAAGCGCTGTGAGCTTCGAGCGACTAGTTACGGTGTTGAGCAGGTGCAGGGTAGAAAGACGCGCAGCGCCTATCGAGTAGTGTTGGACGATGGATGGGTTCAAGACCAGCTTGAGGTGCTTTTCTCGACGAGAGGAGGTTGGGGAGTGTGAGATGAAGGTTTCCCGGAAGAGACCTTTGCATTTATACAGCTTGGGTAAGCGCAGGTCCGCAGCCCGCACAAAGCATCCAGAGCCGGGGTGGCAAGGCGCTGCTCTATAAGCAGACAGAAACGCGAACGCGAGCGCGAACCCGGGCATTCATCCGAGCCATTGATTGACTTGATGCGGGTCATTCGCTTTGAGCAGAGAAGAGGGCGATGTTCATCAGTGGCAAGCTCTGTCTCGTCCTGACCGCTTGACACCCGCATGTTAGACGCAGCTCCAGAATGAAATCTTTGAATATGCGGGGTTGGACTTTGCCTTGAAAAAGAGGCACCTTAGAGGTACCGAGCCACGCCCTTGGCGGGTCGAGCGCATGTGGGACCAGATACGTGGAGCCGTCGCAGCACACGGATTCAAGTGCTGTGCGTCACAAGGTGCAAGTCTATCTCGAGTCGAGGTCGGAGACAGACACTGAGCTCTAGTCCTCATCCAATCGTGCGTTGCTGCTCCCCCAGCGGCAGGCTTGAATGAGAGAGTACATGGTGGCAACAGCAGTCTAGATGCGACTGGACTTGCAAGTGGTGCGCACGGGAGGCAAGCTCACACTTCCTGCAGTCCAAGGCGCATGGGTAGGTGCAGCATTGACCGTACGTAGAGAGATGCTGCGTCGCTAGTGCAGACTGCCCGGGTTTGGAAAGACATCATCTTTCTCCTCGACTCGACGGCATGGAGTCCGAAGAGTGGTCAAGCTCCGAAAGAGGGCAGGTAATTTGACAGTGGTGTGCTATTTTTGGGTCCTGTACCCAAGCGAGATGCCTAGTGGCAAGCCTCGTGTGTCGACTTGCTTTGATGAGGTGTGGGACCACCACGTCTCTCGGCAAGCGGCTTTCGTGCCGGGGCGATGTGAATCGTGAATGTGGGTGAGCGAGTAGCGGCACGCGGCACTCACGACTTTGCGCCACGCACGCCGGTCACAGAGAAGGAGCCGTATCGGTAATGCACCACACTAGCGTTTAGGACCTTTTATTACGCTCAGACGGCCAAGCGGGGCCGATCAGGTCAAGGGGAGCATTGACTCGATCGTCTGGACGTCTCCGAGAAGTCATGAGTCAGACCGCACGTGTCACAGCTGTAGCGACATTTTGGTAGGGTGTGCTTGCCTGCCTGGCGGGACTCTCGGGCACTTGCGAACGAGTCAGCGGGGCAACGAAGTTTGGCAAGACTGGGACGTCCTCGAATTCTTGATCTCAAAGAGTGCTGCAGATCAATGCCCATCATTGAAGTTGGTTCGAGTTGGGAACCTCTTCGTCTCTCCACCAGTACTATGATCTGCGTGTCCAAGCAGTCGCCCCCGTTGTTCGAATGGCAGTGTGGCGCAAGGAGCTGGTGATTGCCTGACGTTGAGAAGCATTTCCCACAAAAAGAATCGACACGCGACCGGCCAGGGGCACAACATACACCACGCCGGACGTCGTCGGTGGAATTAGCAAGACGCTTTGACCTGAGCCTGGCCGAGCGCACGGCTAGCAAACGCATGACAAGATGAGCGACTGGCAAGAGCCTTTCACTCTAGCATCCGCCAACTCAGATACAAGGGAAATGTTGTAGCCATGTTGGGATTCGTGACATCGTTGACAGCTTGTGGGTGTGCGTGTCTGGATTTGCATTCTTAGGGCGTCGACTGCCTGCCATAGGCCCTCTGAGCACCAGCGGGCCAAGATCACGAATTGAAGAAGCTGCAAGAGGGAACGATTCGTGAGTCGGGTCTCTTCTTGTGTGCGCGAGGTCTTCTGAAGCACGAGGTCCACCATCGTGGGTTGAAATGGGTAGGGACGAGGGCTAGAGGTGAAAGTGGAGCTTGGGAGGCGACGATCTGCGCAATGACTGTAGCTGACAGCCATCTTCCCGCGGGTGTGGGTGGTCTAGGCGGGAGAACGCCCACGGAGAAAGCGGGCAAGGTCTCCTGTAAACGAGCGCTCTAAGTTTCCGCAGAGTTTTGTGCGCTACATTCCGCTTCGACCAGATTGCGCAGCCACTCGTCGTGCTCTGGATCGTTTCGAGCCTCCATCCTATGCCGACGCTGTTCACTCCAAGCATCGAGAGCCTCCGGGGGATGCTTGGAGATGGAAAAGTCGTTCATGCCAGCCGAAGAAGGCAGAAGAGCGTCCAAGCCGGGATGGTTGACACGCAGCAAACCGCGCGTGGATATCTGCCAGTACCGCTTCCGTGATCGCGTGTTGCGCGTCTCAATCCGTGTACTTGGAAGGTGCGGCTGAACAATGACTTCTGCATTGTTTGCAGCGCTGTTACCGACGTTCAACAGGAGGATGATCGGTGGTTGCACGAGCGATGTCAAGAATTCAGCGGTTGCGCTGGGTTCCATCACCGCGGTGTAAGGCGTCTTGTGCGCTTTGACTTGCACTTCGATGAATGAGAATGCCAGAGGATTCAGAGGCTCGGTGATAGTGCCGCAATAGACAGGGATCAATAGGTCCCAATTCGCTTGACCCTTGGCACCTACGATCGCAGTCATATGAACCCACGCGTCCCAAAGCACGTCAGTGTTGATAGTCTGGACGAGCCGGCGTAAGCGGTGAAAACGAGTGAAGTTGACCCAGACATCCCCAGTACTTTCGAGCAGCTTCGCCCATGCCGCCTGGCCGGCGTTTTCAGCGCCCTGTGTTCTTGTTGACTTTTTCATATTCTGCGTGCTGAATAGAGTCTCAAGATATGCGCGCAGCTCGACGAAATGGTGAACAGGATCTGTCGATGCGAGCTGGTTTGGCAGTTTTGATGCTCCAGCCGACGGCCGTGGAGTCGCATCCTTGCACACAGTAAGCAGCGCCTGGGCCGTGATCTCTCCATAAGTTCCCTGATCATAGACGACGCAATTACCCACCAAGGCTCGAAATTGCTCCCAGCACCGAGCCCAGACTGTCGCTTTAGACGCCGTTGGATCTCTGGGCCTGGCCATGAACACCGCAGCCGCGTGTGACACCAGAGGTTCGCAAGCTATGTACGTGCCCAAAGTGTCTCCGGAGGTGCTCAGAGCATAGAGCATGCGCAAATGCTCGTCGACTTGCTGTCGCTGGAGCGATACATATGCCTGCTTATTCGCCTCAACCCGATGAGAGTGCGGATCCCCAAATTCTCCGTAGTCATGGCCGTCATCCAGCATGATTCGCTGACTGAGCAGCGCGAAGCAGCGCTCTGAGGTGAGCTCGATTTCGAAGAGTTCGTTCTGCTCTGAGCCCGCCTTGAGCAGCTTTCGAGTGACGAACGATAGATATTCGCCTGACAAGCTGGAGGCTGGGTCTGCCAGCATCGGCGTTGTCTTGTCGTACGACATGACAGACTGCCAAAGAGGTCTGCCCCAACGCGCCAGCAAATGTGGTCTGCTGGCCGTGTAAGGGGAAGCTGTAAAGATTTTTCGCTTGTAGTCCTCATGAGCGGTAAGCCAGACGTTCGTGGAGGTGTGCATATAGGGTGGAAAATGTGATAATCTGCCACTGGCAATGCGGAACGAGGATGCCTCCTTGGTAAGTGGGGTGAGGGCCGCAAAGCTAGCGTTTGTTCCAAGCATGATGAGCCAGAAGCGAGGCGGAAGCTCTAGCTCTCCATCATCGGGACAGAACACAGAGCGTAAACGTTCGACCCATGAGAATTTACTGGTGGCCACGAAGTCCTTGCTGAAAGGTGGAGGTTGGTTGAAATGTGGGGGTTCGATATTTGCTATTTCGTCCAGACACACGTGAAACAAGCTCGAGTGTCGTGGATTGTGTCCAGTGACTGGTACAAGCTCATGGCGTCTTCTCGCAGAAGTCTCTTGTTGAGCTGATGAACTGACTCGTATCTCTCGTGATCGATGAAAGCTTTGCCAGCGCGGGAGAGACTGGAAAGCGCGCTGGACCATAAATCTTCCGCCAGCCTTTCGGTCTCGTTGTATAGGTGCACGTCGGCGTGAGCTTCATGACGCGTGTCGTCTTCTAGCGTGCGAATTTTGGCCCCGCACTCGGTCTTCCAATGCTCAGCAAGAGACTCGGCCGTTGGTTCTCCGGCCATCCTACACACAGCAGTCGCACTTGCCTGGTAGATGGCTCTGAGCAGAGTCATCCAACGAATATTATACACGAGTGCCACCGCGTGAGGAGATGGATATGATACGACGTGGCGAAGATCTTCTGTAAGCCACTCGTAGAACCTCCAGTCTCCGAGCGGGAACGCGGCTTCATCCTCGCGACGGAGGCATAAGGAGAATGTGAGGTGTACTTCGCTGGGCTGCTGGTCACAAGATACGCGCCCGTTGAGGCGTTCCACCAGCCGAGACTTGCCCGTGCCGCTACTTTGAATGATGGCGAGCGATCGCGAGTGCCACAAAGTATCTCCGTGGACTTCCAATGGGACCTTAGTGCCTTCTTCATCAGCACTTCGCGGAATTTTGCTGACAGCTTCAAGCCTCTCCGGGGTAAAGCGCGCCTCGTAGTCGGCCAATGTCCTGACAAAGAAATCATCTGCAGTGCCTAAATAGTCGGTCTCGAAAAATGCCTCGGAAAGTCTGTTGTACTGCTTGAAGTATATGTGGGACCTGACTGCGGGGTTGCTTTGATCTTGTTGGTGACACAGGAGTTCCAACATGCGGAGCCGCGTAAAACCTGCCCAGTCAGATATGTGGTCATTTCTCCTCCTTTGCCAACCGGCTGAAGTACTTATGATGTGATTGCGCGTGCGTTGCAAGGTGTCGTAATCACTCGTTCCTCTCGAACCTTTGAAGAGATTTCGAATGCGTTCAGGGGGTGGGTCAAAATCGCATTCCGAGTGGAGGGCTGAGACGTAGTGGTCGGCGCTGCGAATGAATCGCGGGAATTCCGCGTGCTCGGGGCCACAGTGACTCCAAAGGTGAAGCAAAAAGTCGTATTGCCGCTGCGATGTTCGAGAGATCACACCTTCGAGCCATTGCTCGGCCGCAGTTTGACGCGGACTGCCCTGTGATACTGGCGCTCTCGCTGCTGTGGATAAGGAGGCGCCTGTATGATCAACATCCATGGGCTCATTTGCTGCAGAACCTTCTGAGCCACTTGTTTCTTGCATGTTGAAGAAAAGCCTTTCTTTAGCACTGATGGTGGCGCCTGATTTGGAACTGGGAATAAGTACGGCCAACCACTAAAGCCTCAGATGTCTCGTCGCAGCTGACGTAGCAATACTGGCGTGCAGTCTGTGAACTCACGTTCCGACGCGCAACGTGCGAACAGCCTTGGTGGTCCGCTCCTAAGCCACGTGTGGCAGAGCGAGGAGCTGTCTATCACGAAGCGAATGCTTCATATGGCTTCCAGGCTATGCGCTGGCAACTTTCCTTGATGACGCGCGTGTGCGAAGCACCTGGCATACGGGCATGCGCATCCAGGCTTCGACGAGCTGGGGGAAAGGCGGCAGGGGTATCGGCTAGGATCGATCGCGTCGCAGGACCGGAATGAGTTGCTTAGTGAGACGAGGAGCGTCGTGTAGCACGATGCAGGTAGCAGTCAATTTTTCAGCTTCACTGCTAATACGAGCTCTCCCCTGCAGACTGAATGTGGATGCTGTTGTCAGAGATGATCAGTGTGGTGTGCGAAGGTCACAATATCACTGAAACGTATGCATTGGTAAGGAAGAGCGAGATGAGTGGTGCTCTCTAGCTAGTCTTGATGAGTTTGAGTGTCTAAATGTGTGTGTGTGCAGCGCGGCATGCATCAGCTCACGTGTTCTGACATGTGGGTCACAGGTCACGTGAGTCAAGAGTCAGGAGTTACATCAGTCTTGAGTTTGATGAGTCTTGAGTCAAAGTCCTGAGTCACGGGTTTTGAGTGACGAGTTGATGAGTGAGTTCGTGCCATCGATCTTGAATACAATTTTTGCCGTCAATGGCTTTTGTTCAGCACGAACTTGTCCCTGACTCCTTCGCATCTCAACTCACTGACTATTGTTTTATTGAGCCTCACTAGCAAGTCGTGCTAGGTCTCTGATCGCCAGTGCAGATTGCCACAGGCCAGGACGGCCTCCTTGTCGAAGTTCTTGATGCACCATCCGAGCATGTCGTGCGCTCTTCGATCGACTCTGCGCCTCAGTAGCGCCGCGGGCGCTGCATCATCGGTAGTACGGTCTCCTCACTCGTGCCACATTGGCACCTCTCTCTCCCCCAGGCATTCCTTCATCAAATTCAATCGGCGTGATCCCAACCACGTCCAACACGCTCGAAGTCTAGCCAGCGAAGCTCGCTCTCCTGTCGCTCCTACATTAGGTGGTCATCCCTCGCACAAAGTAGTGATCGTAGGCGGAGGCTCAGCTGGTCAGACGATCCTACATCAACTCTGGCGCACTGGTCTCTTCGCTCAGGGCGAACTTGCTCTTCTCGACGGTTCTGCTTGGCACCACTACCAACCTGGATGGACATTGGTTGGTGCAGGTCTCAAGACCAAAGAGGAACTGAGGCGTCCTCTGCCTGAGCTCTTGGACGACACAGGAGCGACAAGGTACGCCAGGAATGTAGTGGAGTTCAAACCCAGTCAGAATAGGGTCGTATTGGAGGATGGCATCGAGGTTGCGTACGAGAACCTGGTTGTATGCCCGGGTGTGGATTGCAAGTGGGAGAAAGTCAGAGGTCTGCGCGAAGCGCTAGAAGAAAAGAGCGGGAAGGTGGTTTCAAACTACAGCTTTGTGAGTTCGCGTCCCGTCCCGCGTCTCAGGGATAGGTTCCCTTGCTGACTTTCATGAGAACCTACACTCAGGAATCTGTTTCCAACGTCTTCCCAGCTATCCAATCCTTGCGAAGCGGTAACGCTATATTCACGCAGCCACTGGGGGTGGTCAAATGTCCTGGTGCTCCTCAGAAGGCAATGTGGCTTGCAGAAGACTACTGGCGCAAGGCTGGTCTCAGGTCCGACACGGGCACCTCAGCTATCAAAGTGTCTTTTGCGACCGGCAATCCGGTCATCTTTGCTGTCCCAAAGTACGCTGCAGCGCTCAACGAGATTCGAGAGTCACGCAACATCGAGATGCTGGCGCAACACAATCTTCTTGAAGTGCACTCTAGCAACAAGGCTAGCTTTAGCGTGCCATCCAAGGAAGGCGAGCCTCCGAGATCAGCCACGCTCGATTTCGACTTGCTGCACGCCACCCCTCCGCAAGGACCGTTGGATGTAGTTGCCAAGTCGCCCTTAGCAGACCAGGCCGGCTTCGTCGAGGTGGATGCAGCTACTACCAGGCATACGCGCTTCCCAAACGTCTGGAGCGCAGGTGATGCAAGCAGCTTGCCCACTTCCAAGACTGCTGCTGCCATCACTGCCCAAGCTCCTGTGCTCGTTGCTAATCTTGTCGGCGCCATGAAGGGGGGCGATGCCGCTTTGGCAACGTACGACGGCTACACAAGCTGCCCTTTGTTGACGGAGTACGGCAAGGTGATGCTTGCGGAGTTCAAATACGGGGGTCAAATCAAAGAGACGTGAGTCACAAGACTGGTCAGCGCTGCATTAACAGCTGCTTCAAGCCTGCATCCAGGCTCACTTTACAATGTGAATTCGATCTGTTACCCCACAGATTCGGCAATTTGTTTGGCATAGACCAGGCAGAGCCTCGCAGGGCTTTTTACCACCTCAAGAAAGACTTTTTCCCTGCCGTCTACTATGGGTCCATGGTTCGAGGTACTTGGGCAGGCCCTAAAGGCTGGAATTTTTCCAGTCCGCACGCAGCAAGTGCCACCACCACGCGATCATTGTCGACCTTTACCCAGCGACCGAGCATAGCGCAGCAGTGCGAAGTCACTGTTTCGCGCGGCTTTGCGACGAGCTCAGCCAGGGCAAGAGACATGCCTGCCCGTCGACCTCGGGACCCTCTGGCGAACAACCCTCACGCCAAGAGGCACCCTCTCAAATCGGGCGAAACCTTCATCGTTAGACCGCCTCCAACGCTTTCTTCGCCCGAGTCTGTCATTTCGGACGACAGCACCAACGAAGGACCTTGGTTGCCTTCCGCATCCGAGTCCAACGCTGCGCCTTCACACCTCCCACCAGCTTTACCTCCTCGTACGCGCTCTGCACAGGCAGCGCGATCGGCCAAGTCCAAGTCGCTCACGGCAGATGAGATTAGCCTGATCCGACAATTGAGAGCGGAAGATCCGATCAAGTGGACGGGCAACCAGCTGGCAAAGAGGTTCGGGTGCTCTACCACTTTTATCAGGATCATCGCTCCGGCTCCCAAAGAGGTCAGGCAGGTCAGAAAGGAACACGAGGAGGCGCGAAAGGAGAATTGGGGGATGAACAAGAGGTTGTCGGTTGAGGGCAGGAAAGCTAGAAGGGAGCTTTGGTGAGAAAAGGTGTACGTAGACGCCAAGGAATGCAGTCACTTGCAATGAGTACGTGGATTGAGTGCATCGCACGCGACTGTTCTGAGATTTGGTCTCCCTGACATCAGGCGGTTGCCTCGATGCTGTGGACGCGGCGTTCGGCGTTCATTGGTCCTGACCATTGCTGAACATCTTTAAAAGTACATGAACGGGGAGCTCTGACTTGCCTAGGGAAGACTGACCCTACCTGAGACTTTTTGGTGCTGGACTTGCGCTGCGTCGAGCTGATGTGTTGAAGTGGGAGACGTGCCGCTGCTCAGCTCTCTCGGGCCGCCGAGGAGCGTCCGACGGCTTGAACTCCATCGAGCTGCCGCCATCATCTTCACTAGAGGCCCTCCTTCTCCGCACATCTTCGATCCATTTCGTCTCGAGGTGAGCTTTGAGCTTGGGTATATGACTGTGCTCGCTCTCATCGTAGAAAGATGTCAGCGTCGACTTGAGCAGATTCTCATAATAACGTTCATCATGAGGTAAATTTTTCTGCCCCTTGCGAACCATTTCTTCTATGTGAGTCAAGGGTAGCCAGAAGCCATGAGAAGGATGGAAGGAGAGGTAATGTTTCTTGTTCTTGAGTCTTTCGGAAATGAGATCGGAGCTGATGATGTGCAGATGGACGTGCTCCATGCTCGGCACGGCGTGAAACCCTACATGCACAGGCCACGTCGTACCCGCTTCTTCTTGGTCCTCCGCCAGCTTCGTGTAGGGCTGTTCCTCTTGGATGAGCTGCACAGTCTCCTCGGATGCTTTTCGAAGAGCGGCGAGCACCCTTGATGCGTGCGGACTGGAAAGCAGAGATTTGAGGTTGGATAAATGGTTCGGCGGAACACAAGTAGGTCCCTTCTTGAGAAGCTCAAAGGCGTCTCTGGGCTTGCTCGCCTCCGAGTCGCTCGAGTGAAGCTGGAATGGTACTCGCGGCAAGACCAAGAAATGAAACTTGGCCTTGGGATATCCATCGTAGATGGTCAATGTATGCTCATCGCTCCTCAGCAGAGTGCCCTCGGGTAGAGTGTTCAGGTCCTTGGTCCTAGCGTACTGAGCGAGCGCATTGGACCACGCCATCTTGCCCCGCCCAGCTGCGGCAGGCCAGATCACCTTCCCATCCGCAGGCAGGGAGGCCAGGAATCTTTGCAAGGTCCTGATGATGACTGATCAGGTGATGTTCGCCTCGCCGTGGTCCGGCAATTTCAGTGCGTTGGATTTGATGACTTGAACGAATGCAGCAAAGACACGTTCGGGCAGGTGGATCCCGTGCAGTCGCTCGGTCTCTTGGGCAGGATGTCGATGTTAAGAAACGGCTGTTCGCTATCCTACTCAGCCGGTCTGCAATCGAAGGTCCGACTGGGCGTGATCGAGAACGAGTGTACCGACCTACGGCTAGCGACGAGTGATGGAGATGATCACTGGATCGGCGGGTCGGCGGGTCGGGCCAAGTTGTGGACGGGTTGCACTGAAGATGGAGCAGTGTGAGTGGTGAGTCGTGAAGAGCCAATTTTGAGGGTATGATGAGTAGCCCATGCGCTCCATCGCGCGCGTCCCGAGGTCCAAAGGTCACGCACAAGTCACGAGTGGAGGGAATGAGCGTTCGGGGCACAGCGGCATAGCGGCACAGTGCGCGTCGCGAGCAAAGATGTTCAATGCGGGTCGACCGTTGCAGCCGCTCATAGAGCAGCTGAACGAGCGTTGCACGTCATGCATGCGCCTCTGCTTCTCACCATCCTACACCCACAACCACAAACTCTGGCAATTCGAAATCAGTCGGCGAACCGCTCGGGGTCTTCTTGGGTCTTCTTCTACGCATACATGCAAGTTTGACACCGACGCCAGCAGGCACCGGACTCTGACTCGTGACTGCTGCAATTGTGAAGCTGAGTCGCAGGCTTGCTCTCGGCAAGCAGCAATGTGAGGTAGGAGGCCAAGGCGCTCATCATCGCCATTCTAGCCGGGCAAGCACGACCGACCACTCCCCAAAATGGCAGTGGTTGGGCTTGCCGCTGCGAGCCCGCGCCTTGCCGGACGTGAGCCTCTAATCCAGCAAGCTGCGAGCCGCACCTTGGTAACATGATCGTATCGTCATTTACGCTGTAATGGCCCGACTCTTCGCCCGGCTGCGGATGCTTGAGATCCGACAATCGTACGCAGGAGACCTAGCTTGCTACTCCGCGTATTGATCGCATGCTCCACCACCTCTTCAAATCTTTCTGCTACCGCATCGTCTCTTCCAGAACACTACCCCAACTCTCCCCAGTGCCAAGGGGCACGCAGGCAGCATCTTCTTCAGCTTGCTTGACATCTTCGATAGCTGTCGCAGGCAGCATTCATCAGGGCAAACAGCATGCAGCTACACCTAGCCATCACTTGGCTTCTGCTGCTTTGCATCTACGTGGTGAAGGGTGCGTTTGAATGTCGCTATCATGCTCACAAGACCTTCTATTCTGCTGACTCAACTCTTTGCTCTCTTGGTGGATGCTGACCTGTACAGGCGATGGCAACGACTGGGTATCTCCTCTCTATGTCATCACCCGTGGTGAATCGTATTCTGCCTCGACTGGAAGCGCGGCCGAAAAGCGCATCATAGGCGCAGCAGTATGGAGCGCAGCCAAGGGGCCATGGAGCGTAGTAGATCAAAATATCCGCGCTCCCAGCAAAGATGCCAAGGACTATCTCAGCTGGGCTCCGTACTGGTTCCCCGACTGCAATTGGTGCAAGAGCGGAACTGGTACGCAAAGCGATGGTGATGACGATGGTAGCGATGATACCAGCGATGGCGATATGTCGCTTGGACCAATCGCTCCAGGCACCGCAACGATTCCACTGCCGGGCCTTGGTGGTGTTGCCAACGCTCCTAAGGATACCATGACTGTGCCGACCTTGGGCAAGATGCCAGCGCCCACGCGTGCTGCGTCACCTCCCATTGCCCTACTTCCGGAAGATGGAAAGCGCCTGCCCACCATGACAGTCGCGCTTCAGCAACCAGCTGTTCTCAATGCAGGTCAATCATTTCAGAGACTGTCGGGAGCCGGAAAAATTGACTCTCTCTCCAACTTGAACAGCACGAGAATTGACGATGCACGCTCGCCAGAGGAATTCAAAGAGTCCTCGTTCCTTGCCGCATCTGCTGCACTCACGGCGTCCTCTTCAAACGGCACGCCGGCAGGACCAATTCCTCTGGTTCAGATCGCAGCGCGAGATCATTCAGACGATGCCCGAGCGGCGGCCAGGGGAAAGGTTGGAGAAATCACGCCCTCGCGAGCGACGGCAGACGGCTGCCATACAGCCAGTCAACATCTCAACGCAAGAGCTTCAAAGTGCACACCATCTACCACGCGCGTGGCACCCACTGCTACTTGGACTACATGCCCTTACAAGCAACGCGACGGAAAGGTGAATCCGGATGTGAAGCAGCTCAATAATACCAAGGACATTGTATCGATGGCTCAAAGCGTGTTGTGGAACGGAGTAGCATACGGTCTCTCTAACGACTCCACGGATGCTCGGCGAGCTTCAACACTCATCAAGCGCTGGTTCTTGGATGCTAGAACCGGTGTCAATCCCAGAGTCGTCTATGGGCAGGTCATCCGCGGACCTGATGATCAGCAAGGTGGCTATACGGGAATTCTTGATTGGAGAATGATTATCAAGGTTGTCAATGCGGTAATCATTCTGCGCGCCAAAGGCTCGGAGGGCTGGGACAGCGTGACAGCATCGAGCATGTCTGGTTGGGCAAACGACTACTTGTCGTGGTTGCTCACTTCTGCTGACGGCAAAAGAGCTTCAAAGGTAGCGAACAATCATGTTTCCTTCTACTACAACCAGGTCATTGCACTCTACATTCTTTTGGGAGACCTCAAATCAGCTCAAAATGCCGCCAATACCTTTTTCACTGGCGCATTCATGAAGCAGATTTCAGATGACGGCGAGCAGCCATACGAAGCCGTTCGGACAAGACCTTTCCACTATCGATGCTTTAATTTGGAGGCACTCATCACAAACGCAAAGCTGGCAGATAACATGGGACTGAACATGTGGAGCGCGAGGGCTGAAAGCGGAGCTACCATTCAGACGGCTGTGGATTACACCATGACCCTAGACGCGGGCATGACGGGCGAAGACGTGACGGAACTAGCTCCTCACGTAGCTGCTGTCGCTGCTGCATACGGAGACCCGTCCGGCAAGTACGCCAAGTGGCTCGAAGATGAGAATAATAGCGGTGATCCGGACATGAATCAAAGCTGGAGATTCTACAACGATCCAGATGCCTTCTATTCCAGCCCTTATAAAGGTGAGCATATAGTTAGCAGGGTCTCGTCCCGTGAAGATACCCGCACTAAGTAGACGCCTACAACTCGCTCAGGACACACAACAAGTTCTCAAAAGTTCAATTCGTGATGCGCTGGTACTGTTACATGATGGTGGTGCTTAATATACCCATCCCCAGCACAAACTGGGCTGCTTAGCGTTCAATGCGACTCAAATTCTCTTTTCCTCGTTTGACCCCATGTAATGGCACGCGCCGCCTCAAACGCCGCCATGACCAAGTGAGGAAGGCGCAGCAGTGTCGCCCGATCTATCTCCGCCTCTTCTCCTCGCCATTCTACGTCCCTCGTACTGAGCTCGACCAAAGGCTTCGAGAGCCTCTTTGCACTGCTCGTTGTACGCATAGTCGCCGGCTGTGAAGCCGGAAGTGTTTTTGGAGGCAAAGACGCAACCTCGTTCGATGAGCAACTGCACGACGATCAGGTGGCCCCAGCTGGACGCGTGGTGCAACGGGGAATTCCCGTCCGCATCGACTAGATCCGGATCCGCGCCCAGATCCAAAAGTAATCTAGCGCAGTGCTCGTAGCCCTTTATACAAGCCACTTGAAGCGCTGTACAGCCAATATCGTCTTGCCAGTCGAGCAGCTCTCGTAGCCCAAGCGGCATTCGGTGTGAATCTTCGAATTCACCGTCGTCGTCTTCCGCCTCCAAATCCTCCATGTCTCCCAGCGAAGGGCTGCTGTATTGCGCCGGACCACTTTGATGACTTGAGCCGGCAGACTTTGCCACAACATGCTGCTTACGCAGATGTTGGTGCGGAAATGTTGGCGAAGTGCTTGGCGTTGCAAAAGATCGTTGCGCACTGTCCGAATCGTCGTCGGGTGTTGAGGCAGAGTCCTTGATGACGTGATACTCTCCGGTTCCAAGGCTTTTCGTTCCTTCGCTACCACTCCGCATAGCACGAGACCTGCTTTGCGGGAAGACGTAAGCGCTCTGAGCATGGTGCGAGCTGGCAGCTTCGGCGACTGCTGCGATGCAGCAGGCATTGATGATGTCTGGACGATTGTGGGCGGCTGCTAGGTGCAACACTGACCTGTCTCGTGGATCCTACCAAGCGCGAAACGAAGGGAAGGTTCAGGCAAGGCGCTAGACTCGGGCGCAGTCTAATCGGCAGACCATTCAGCACTCTGAAAGCTTCTCACCCACCTTAGTGAAGCCTCCTCGCTCGTGACCGCAATCCAAAAGCCACTCCACCATGCTCTTGCCTGCTCCGTATCTGACGGCTAGAGCTAGGCTGCTCACGCTTCCATCCAGCTCGGGTCGCGCACATCTCATAGTCATGTCTTTAGTGTACTCGTTTGTACGGCGGCCGCTTGATGGCAAAGGCTGCCGACTGAGAGCCTGACCAGGTGCGTGCTCGGCTTTGGATTTGCGAGACATTTCCAGATTCCGAATGTTGAAGCATGCAGTGCCTAGCGCAATCATTGCCGTGTCGCTGTTGACATCGTGTGCGAGCACGCTGAGAGGCTCAGGTGTCCTTTGCGGGCTTTCCTCGCCGGAACGCTGCGCAGTGCCAAAGCTTAGCTTTTGTTTGGAACCTCTCCCGCTGGAAGGCGCCTCCGCTAGCGCCTTGCGCTGCGCAACCAAAGCCCTTTCCTTCGCAGGAACGCGATACGTACAGCGAGAAGAGTCTACTGCCCATCTGATTGGCACTGGAAGCCTTTTTTTCACGGCCGACTCTTTGTGATACCCTGAGCCGTTCTTTGCTCCCGCAGCAGATGCCCGATTCATTCTCTGCTCGACGGTTCGTGGATGCAGCGTCGCGGTGCTGCCTCTCGGCTGCGAGTGGTACAGACCAGGTTGCACTCCGGTCGAGCCTGCGGTGCCGGCACCGCCTTCTTGGTGCGAAGATGACCTGCTTGCTGACATGGTCATATTCAGCTGTGAGCGCAGTATCTCTCGGCTAGGCCTCCTCGTCGATGCTCGCGAGTCTCCATCGTCATCCTCCTCCTCCTCGTTGTCTTTCGCATGCTGACCGGATGAAGCGTCTTGATCGACTGCAGCGGGAGGATCGGCTGCCTGCTGCTGAGGCATGAGCTTCGATATGGTGACGGCGCGTAGGGCGAGAGCTTTCGCTCGAGGGAGGTCATCCTCTATCACTGCTCGCCTGAATCGCTGCGCCAGGTTTGTCTTCGTTCCAGGAATCTCAAGCACGTCTGAGAACATGCTTCTGGGATTGTTGTGATCCATCCGATCACCCAATTGGCCCCAAGGCGCTCGTGGAGGGTGTACAGCGTCTTGCTCTGCCTGCGTACGAGCGGCAAGCAGATCGGAGCCCCGTCGAGGTCTGGAAAGGCTTGATTCGCGTGCCAAACCTGCGCGACCCCGTTCTCCATCACTTTGTTCTGCAGCACGAGCTTTGACGCCGTACAGCTGCTCGGGTGAGCTGCTGGACCGCTTAAATGCCAACCCAAAGCGAGAGTGTCGGGAATCAATGGTTTCAGTACGACCATCTCGCTTGGCGCCGTGCGTCGCATTGCCTCGCGCGGGCGCTTGCGCTGGCGTTTGTTGGAGATCGATTTGGGCGTCACCAAAGGTAGGCTTGGCGGCGAATTCGTTCTGGCCATCAAAGTGATGAACAGCATTGATAGTGTCAGCAATTGAGCGACCTCGGGCGAGATCGCCTCCCGCTTTGCTTGAGTCATCAGTAGGCGACAAGGTGGTCGAGGTGCGCGTCTGTTCCGGACCTTGCAAACCTCGGGCGCCTGACATGGACTGGCCCAGTCCCACCATAGGCGGGTCAGGAGTCGTTGACATGATGTTTAGATTGATGTTATCTGGCCAGCTCTTTGTGTAGACAGCGCATACGGCCTACAGTGGTGACGACGCTTTACGCTGCAGCGATCGGACTTCACACCCACGAGGATAGCCGATGGCGATGGGACACAATTGGACGGCCTGCGCGCGCGCGGTGTCCATTGATGTTTGCCTCCCTGCACGAACCATGCGTGCTGCGAATTCCCAAGCAGCTGATGCAGTGTCACCGTTGAGAGCGAGCTATAGGCACGAGTGCCACCATCAGAATGAGCACAAGCAAGCGGATGAGGAGTTGAGAATTGGAGTCTCGTCTGGGTGGTGGACACTTCCAGCACTGCCATAATGTGCCGTAGATGTTCGGCTAGCGGGTGCGGGTGTGAGCATGCTTGGACCAAGGCGGCGCGCGCGTAACGTTCTAATTCATCATTCACATTGTGATTCTGATTGGTCATTTGTGATTCCAATGGTGAATCTCGATCACGTGTGAGCGAGTCTTGTGAAGAGCTAGCTTTCTATTCAAGATTTTGATTTGTGCTCAAGACTCACAACTGTACCTGCACCGGCTGCACGAGGTTTGACTTTGATTCCTGATTTGACCGGTGACTACATATACGTGACTCATCTCGAGACGCAAATGTTCCAATTTGAATCTTGAAATTGAGCTTGAAGCAGCTCCTCCTCGACACTTCGGGCGTGGTTCTAGCTCTTAGACGAGCGACCTCTTCCTGACCCTCCTATATCTCAATCCAGACTCATCGCGAATGCCGTCAAATCATTCGGTCAGAGGCAATGCTACATCACTTGGAAAGGCTTCCTGGCTTTCTCGCTCGGCTCGAGTGTCCAAGATTTGACGTTCACATGTAATTGGCAATTATGATACAGCGTACAGAGACCATGTGGCGATTGCACGTCCCAGCAAGCGTCAAGAAGGGGGCTCGGACAAGCTAGGCAAGCTTCAGAATGGTTGCTCACGGAACTTCGAAGCATCGCACGAAGCGCACGGCGGTACAACTCAAAGCTGCGTACTCGATGAGGTGCCAAGCGCTGCGGCAGGATGCCTGGGAAACGAGCTGTCGCTGAGATTGCTTTTGTTGAAAGTCTGTCCATACTGCATCGTGCCGAGCAGAGACTTTTGCGAATGCTCCGAATTCTTGCGCAAGCTTGGTGCAGTGTCTCTGCTTTGCTGGAGCTCCAAGTCTTCCTGCCTCGTCTGGCTGGGAAGATCGAGTTCCTCCACCGGGTCCAACGTAGTCAGGACGTGCATGTCCGCTTCGTCGGCCTGAGGAGTGCGTCCTGACCGAGACGATCCAGGCGAAGTGCTCAGATTCTTTGTCTTGATGAATCTTGTCTGGGGATCAAAGCTGGAATGCTCGGGATGGTAGAGCATCGGCAGGAGTTGTGCAATCAGAATGTTGCTAGAGACGAGACAGGTGACGAATGAGCAAGGCGCCATGCGCAGCAATGCTTCGAGCGTCTGCGATGACCACACTCACACGGTGCAAATCCCATAGTGGACCGCATCCACCGAGTTCAACGCGTCGAAATTCTTCTGGGCACTGGTGACAGCGAGTGCGATGCAGCTTCCAACAGGCAGGATACAAGAAAGCACGGCAACGTGGAGAGCGTTTTTGAGCTTGCTCTGAATCGTCAAGAATCTGTGTCGGTTTGCTCCGCCCACATTGGACGCTTCGCCGACAACGCTGTAGTGGTTGAAGAGGAACGATCGCAGTCGATAGATGAGGATACCGGAGCCCCAAAGATTGTCGAGAATTTGCAAGGCAAACTCTGCATACACTGGTCCGGGCACGTTTGCCAACTTGGCTTGAGCTTCCCGGTCGCCATGATGCGCACCGCGCTCTACTTCGGTGTACAGATTGATGTACCTGACAGCGCGGACAGTAGAGTGGGCTCGAGTTTAGTAGACTGGGACAGCGGGTCAGAGAGGTGTCTACTCACCATACAATCATGCCGAATCGAGCCAGCTTAATGACAAGTGGCAGGCCAAATACCGCGGCCAAGGTTCGGAACGAGGTGCGCTTGAGAGGGTAGAAGATGAGGAGCCTTAGAGTCACGTTCAAATCCGCGAGCCAAGGCAGCAGAAAGTTGATAGCTCCAATGACTACGAGGCGACGGAAGAGTAGCTCGGTGAGACTCGGAAGGGCGGTGGTCAAGTGGAATGCATGCGGATATCTACTCACCTACGTCAAACGCAAGAGGAATCGGTCTGTGATATACTGGCCCCCAATACATGTCTGGCCCATTGAGGAATGAAGCAATGAAGAGGAGGAGGGCGCAGAGAAGGGCGACCCAGTAGGTTGCCAGTTTGAAGTGTCTCCGCCTAGCCGACCACAAGAGCAAAGCGACCAGCGGGGCTGCCATGCCGCTGAACGCGAAGTTGATGGTGATGACGGTCATCTGGCGTCCCACTTGGACCGAATAGGCCAGACCTGGCGGGGCATAGTTGGCTGACATGTTGCTGCAAACAGTGGCGCGATTGGTAAGGTCGTTCCTGCGAGGGCTGAGGACTGGATGCTAGGGTATATTACAGAAGGGAGGAGGCGATTGACAACGAAGGCGTTGTATATGTTGACGAAGCTACAGACTCGCAAGGACATGCAGCACATGGCAGAAGGAGGTCTGGCGTGAGCGTTTGCACAAACCGCCTTGGTCCACCTTGCAAGCCTAAGGCGGTATACTACAAGACTTGACTCGCGTTGTCATCCTGACCTTCGCGACTTTGCACTTCGGCTCACAATGCGCTGCTTCTGCATGTGTTGAGTGAAGCGTGACTCAAATCGCAGCCCTAAGACAAGAAAAGAGGAGAGCTGGACTGCGTGTTTGAACTCAGCTGCACGCGACCTCATGGTGGTGGCGTCTAGCGTCGCTCTAATCAGGATGTCACGACGAATCACAGGGCGTTGTCGTCTATGGTCAGGCATCATGCTGACGCTCAAGACCGCCTGAAGCAGACTCACAGGCTAGTCGCGTGTGTCTGCGAAAACGTTTGCGTCTTCCTCCGCCAAATACCCAAGTTTGGCCTTCTTGAACCTGCGGCGCGGCGTTCACGGCCCACTGGGCTCCTTCTGCTCTCATGCGTTACCACATGAAGCGCGCGATCCGGCGGCACACCGGTGTTTGAGCTTAAGCCTCTGCTAATCGCCGATTCACTCACTGACTTTCACTGTGACTACTTCACGCGCCTCGCAGCTCTCCCGCTGTGTGTCAGCTGGCTCCACTTACAGTATGCTCTCGCGCGCTCGTGTTGCCAGTGTGACTCGTCAAACTTGCAGCTGAAAGCCGAGCTTCAACGTCAATCGTGAGTCAAGAGCCACTGCTACTATACTACACCGCTGTGACAAGTGCTTGCGCAGGCTTGAACGAGTCGATCAGATCATCATTGTGATTCGGGACTTACGATTGGCGATTCACGTGAATCATTCTTCTGAAGGTCAACCAAGTATTGCCAGCCTGAGCGTGTCGATCTCTCATCCACCCAGTGACTCCTACGCGGCGTCTCAATTCGCATTGCTGTCAAGACTCTATCCCTACGGCGTATTTGACGGAGACCACGCACTACTTTCTCTGTCATGTGACATGCTCGGGGTGGGGGGTGCACTGCTGACCTGTTGCACACGCGGACTTTCTGCAAAGATTCGTGATCATTGACCATCGAAATCTGCTGCTCGGAGAGGCTTTATCTCCCTACGTATTCGCCAGCCAGCGCCCATTTTTGCGCTTTCCTGGTGACCCCGGACGACTCGGAAGGCGGAATGAATGTGCTCGGGGCGTCCACACTATCGACGTACTTTTCCCCGCGACATGAGCCTGTCCTAGTCTCTCCCGATTCCCAGCAAAGGGGAGGATTACATATTCAGAAAGCATACTAACCACTGTCACCACAGACGCGGCTTCCTACCGCCCGGCTTTGTGACATCGTTCAGACCAAGCGGACCCTTGCCCCCGCGATGTACCTGTACCACAACCCACGTCGGTCTTGCAGCGCTGCAACTTGCCGGCGATATGTACGTTCAGGGAGTCACGAGCACAAGTAGTCGTTATTGACTGCCACCTCTGTCATTAATGACGATGGTGGGGATGATGATGGTTCCGATGCAGGCTGGGGCTCGTTCCCGTCCCACACAGTCTGCCATCGCCAACCGGCAGGCTTCGGCGGCCGAGACGGCAGGTCGGGCAAGTCGTCGATTCATCCTGGCCTTTGCCGCAACCTCGGCCGTGAGTCAGACGGAATTGGTGCAGGTGATCAGAGATCTATTTAGATCTTTTGCACAGGCGTGATTTTGAGATCGAGCTCGGGATGTCACAGACCTGCACGCCGCAAGATCATCCAAAATTCACGATTTGTATATGATTGCTGCTTTGTCGTTTGTGGTACGGAATCACCGCTGACTCGCAACAGAGCAAGACAGCTCCGGCGGCGGAAGAGTCGAAATGCCCGACCCATGTGAAATCGACATCATTTCGTGCGACGTATTCTCGATCTAAGATATCTTTAGAGCGCGATCGATGATCTTCACGAGGCTCTTCCAATGAACGTGTGCTCAAATTTGAATGCACGAACTTACCTCCTTCCTTCTAGGTCTGCTTATAGGTTTGGAACTCCGATCCGACAGATGCGCCCTGAAGAAATACGGCCCCGCTCCTTGACGGCGTGCAATGATCAAGATGAACGACAATCATCACACCGCCACGAGCCCAGGGCGCTGGATCACTGAATGTCAATACGCATTCTTTGTTTCAGGCTTTGACACACTCACTGTCACACTGGACGCGACCGGCAATCACTCAGCCCGGTCCCACCGCTGTCCTCTGCTCCACGATCGTCCCGATATGGCGTCTGCATTTTGCATGATAGCAATTCAAGCGGACCGTCAGCGAGAGAACGGTTGTAGAAGGCGGCTTGCATGCTTGTGCGATTGAAAGGGAGCGGCTCCACTGGCTCGGGCACATCAGACTAGGGTCATTCAAGCCCGCTATCTCTGCACATTGCCGTCTGGAACGCATGTGGGAGCAGCAGCAGCGTTCACAATGAAGGGTCGTACATGTACACTATCCGATTCGCGAGCTTGCAAGCCACGCAAAACGTGTGCTCTAGACTCCCAACGCGTGTCGCTGATATGAGGTACAGTAGCGTCATGCAGGTGTGCTGTTCGAATCTGGCAGGAAAGAGGGGAGTTTGTTTTCAGGCACTAGGACAGCCACCTTTGGGGGCCTCGGCGCGAGAAAGATAAGTCTACCAGCAGAGCGCTCATCTATAGCTGGGGGATGCACGACTGCTGTGAGCAATCGCTCAAGCACCGCATGGTAACGAATGACTCGCAAAGCATGCTTTGCTGATGTGGTGTAGTCGTGAGTGATCTGGGCACGGGAGCCCGACTTGCGCCCGAATAGGGCAGCACGCGGCGGGCGGGCCTTATTTCCCCGGAACTTGCCTAAGACGCCTCGGCCATCGATTGCGTGTCCATTCATGCCCGGCCTTCCCCGCAGGGGCAGGCAAAGATGCAGCCGTCCTGCATGGGGAAGCAAAAGACGCCATCGCTCGCCATCGCTACCCGCGTGCGTGAAATCGAAATTTTGCAAGCACCCAATGTCCAGAATCGGCACCCGGATAGGAATCTCTCTGGCGTTGCCGATCCTCCCATCTCGCGTTGGTCGTCATTGTTCGCTCAGAAGAACCAGGTCGCTGTGAAGTCGCTCAACGAAGTGCCAGAGGAAGATTGCAGGACTCTTGGAGTGCAATGCGAGCGGCCCGGCCTTTCGGCGTTTTCGTCCGAGGCGCTGGAACTGTCCCATGGGAGAAGCACCTGAGCGCGTCACGGTATAAGATACGGCGGCTGAGTTCGAACTTTTGATCGCAGGAAAGGGGGCTCATGCAAAAAGCCAGGATTCACATGTTTGAGAGCACTCTGAAGCGGGGTAGAACACCCCGCACGCTCGTGAGCCCCTTGAGAGAGCGGTTGAATGGTCTCAAACTTTTGAAAGTTTGCGCTTGGATAACGATGACACTTGCAGTGGGCCCTATTCCGAGCGTGATTCGTGAGGGCACGACGTGCTCATCAGGTCAGCTCCGCGCCCCGCGGCCGCTACATCCCTGCAGTATAGCAAGCTCAGCAGCCATGGCAGCCGTCTGTCCCGGCGTGTCACGGGCATGAGCGACTGACTCATTTTCCGCAGTAGGCGCGATTCGTGATTCAGTGATTGCCTTGCTTTTCACAACCCGTGGTTTCAGCGGTCTCGCATTCTCATTCCCCGCAATCAAAGGAGCTTGGCATTCATTGATCCCCTCTCACGCCTTCTTTGATACATTTGCAACTCCCCCAAGCGTTGTTCACACCACGCCAACCATCATCAGCAGCGTCCATCGCCGTCGCCGCGATTCCATCACATGCGCGCCCGCTTTCGCAGCAGCACAGTGGCACACACCCGACTCGTTGAGCATCCGACGTGTAGCCATCATTCTTTCATTCCCAGCCGAAGCAGCAACCACGCTTTGCGCCTTTCGATCCAGCTCCTGACATCGAAGCTTGCTCAAGCGTCTGCACAAGCCCAAGCCTTCAACACCAGCCACTGGAGGTCATAGCTCGCCTTGCAAACATTAGAGTCCACCGTCAGGGTCGCTTCACACGAGACTGGTGAGTGTCGCAGCTGCAGGGATTGGCAAAGAGACTGTCATCGACTTCTCCTGGGATCGAGCTTGGCCGACGTGGGCTGCTCTCATCAAGAGGGGTCTTGGGTATATGGCTGGCCTTGTCGTTTCTGATGAGGCGGAGATCGGCGCAGTGAACTCGACAAACATGATCCTGGTGTCTGCCCCGCACACCATCACTCCTACACAGGCATGGTGCTTTGTGGATGGCAGGCACTTGCATGGCGAGTTCACCGAAGGGCCAGAAATAGTAGCATTGCAGGGAGATCGTGTGGGGTCAAGCAGCATGGCATGATAACCCAAAAGTCTGGGGAAACTTCGTTCCGCCACGGCAATCTTCCGGTAATCTCTTCTACGCGAAAGGGCAGAAAGTGATTGCGTCTTGCGATCGCAGGTCACACGCGTACGTATAGCAGCCTTGCGCCCTAGTTGCAAGGGCGCGCTGATCGTTCGCACGCACACCGGCGTCTCACGCACGGCGCCCTCAGCGTTCGAGACCTATACATGCTGTGATCTGGCTGGCGGTCAACGCTTCCGCGAAAAGATCCACAGCGCAAGTCTTGGATAGAAAGAACGGCGGAGGGCGTGTAGCAGCGTTGCAACGATCGAGCCTTGTAAGAGATCTGAAATTGCTAGGGGTGCGCGGATGACACAGCAGCACTCAGCATCGCAGCAAAGCTATAGCTATAGCTCCTGCTGCTGCTTCGCACGCCAGCATGGCTGCATAACCGGTCCGCTTGCCCACACCGCGGGGGGGGGCGCGCGCCTGCAGTTTGGGCGCGTGTGGCTTGCCCAGCAGTCACAGTCGCGCTGCCCGCGCGCATGGGTCAGAGTTCGATCGAGCGCGCGCGCGCGCTCGCGACCGAGGTCCGCGCCGAAACTCTCCGCGGCCAGCTGGCCTGTCTTAAACGTCGCGGGTCGGTCGAGGTGCTGCTGTCTTAATCGATCGAAATCAGAGCTCACAGCAGGCTGCAACGGCTCATGATGAGGGAGCAGCACGGAAGGGGCACAGACCGAGCCTCTTGATCGCATCTCGTTGTGAGATGACGAGGTACAGCGAACGAATCTCCCCATGCATATATGCATACAGCCCTTCGCGCATCGTTGCGTGCCGTAGCGGTACCCCACCTGCAAAATTTTGACCCCCGCCGCTGCTGCTGCTGCTGTTGCGTGTCCGGTCCGTCTCAACGCCGGGGGAATGTGCGATCTCAGTGAAGTGCACTGGCATCATACGCAGCACCGCACCGAAATCACTCCAAAGCGTTCGACGAATTGGCGATGCAGCCTACAGTGTCTTCCACCTGCGATGACGAGCTCCGTACTGATTTTTGACAGTCTTCTCACGTCTTGCTGATTCGCACTGTCTTTGCTGCCTTCCATTCATCTTTCTCCCCCCCC